CCCCCCCCCCCACCTCGACGTACCTCATATCTCTCCCCGAAGTTCGCTCTATGGCCTATCGGTATCAGAGGAGGGCGGAGCCTCTGGTTCTCCGGAGAAATTCGTCCCGTCCCGGCCAGGACGGATCCAGGCTCCGGGTCCTAATTCTAACTGCAGGGGATGGTGGAGGGGGAATCACAGCCCAGTACACACTCTTCCCTCTAGAGGTCAGCACTTCACTTCCGGTTGAAGATCTATTTCCGGAACTGCATTTTTACTTCCGGTGCAGCCAGCACTCAATGCATTTAGTGTTTTTCTAATCTTGTGGAAAAAGAAAAAAAAACTGATTTTCTGAAAAAGTTTGATAAACTACTGAACATTGGATACAAATACAGCAAAAAGAAGAAGCAAGAAGACCAAAAAAGAAAAAATGATTTACCGTGAGCCTGGAAAACAAAGTTGGACAGAGCCTTCTTACAATATCAAACCAAACAATAATTCTATAGGTATTATTATTATTATTGATAATTATTATTATTATTATTATTATTATCATTGGTGTTTTCATTATTATCATTACTCAACTTACTGCAGAACATTATTAGTAGATACTATTATAATTATCATTGTGTTCATTATTATTATAGATATCAATATCAGTTTTCCAGTGCAAATTCTAAAAGTTAAAAAAATATTTTAGAAAGTTTTCTAAAATATTTATAAATGAAAACACTTTGGAACTTTTCTTTAAAATAAAAAAAAACGACTCGGCCCAGATTATCGAAAAAAATCTTGAATTTAATGTTTATTTACATCTGTTAGATTAAATTGACTTGCTAAACATCCTTTATGAAGAAAAATGTTTTCCGGGCCGATAGATTATTCACAGGAATTAGGCCGGTATCTTAGGAAACTGGTTTCAATTTCAATCGAATTTTTTTTTACAAAAATTATCAAAGCGAGATAATCATCCTGAATCATCCCAAGGGTTAGTTAAGGGAATGTATATTATTGGAATCAGACAAATGGCGGTTATGGCTGTAAAGTCGTTTTTGTCTATTTAACTATTTTATCTATTTATCTATTAGAAATGCAAATGGTTTCTGGTGGTTCAGCTGCTGGTCTGCTCGGTCAACCAGCTGGGCAAATTCAGCTGTGGCAATTTCTTCTAGAACTTCTCGCCGACTCATCCAACATGGCCGTCATCAGCTGGGAGGGATCTTCAGGTACATAGTTGCAGACATTAAAAGCCATTTTTTAAATTAAAATTCTAAATATTTTATTTTAATCTTATTTTTAAGGAGAGTTTAAACTAAGTGATCCTGATGAGGTTGCAAGAAGATGGGGGGAGAGAAAGTCCAAACCAAATATGAATTATGACAAAATGAGCCGGGCCATGAGGTATGAATTTAACTACTTCACACTTTTGCCGCCATTTCCTCAAATGAACAAAATGGCGGGAAACAACAAATTTCGAAACACCAGGGAATATGCCAACACAACAATTGGCAGATTTTTTTTGGCATAGAACTTCACTCTCTTGACGTTATAATTAATATAGTATAACAAATTAGAAAAACATGCAAGCAAAGTCACATGTGACTGTTAACAAATGTCTACGACCAACGAGCTCACAGCCTCCCATGTGATGAAATTTGTTAAATTCTTAAATGTTAGATCAATATACTTAAAGTCTACAAAAGAATTGAGTCTTTGTCACAAACAAGGGCGTATACAGGGGGGAAAGGGGGCAGTGCCTTCACCTAGACCTGTAAAGGGGGGCGTAGAACTCAGAGCTATCACACTTTTCAAATCTGAAATTAAAGAGTAAAAAGTATTAAAAAAAATTACTTTGCTGTTTTTATGCTAGTTTTGTTTGAAGTAGAGATAAAGTAGTATTTTCAAGGGAATTAGACTCTTTGTGTACCTTTAAAGTATCCAAGAAGCCAAATGTTTTGAATTTACGGTTAAAATTTTGCCCCCCCCCCCTAGAAGATCTTAGGGGGACAAAAAAAATTTGAGCTTATAGTGCATATTTTGCCCCCTCTAGATTTACTTCTGTATACGCCCTTGGTCACACACTCTGATTTTCTAGTCCCTATATCTTTGGAACACAATGTCGTAGACCTTAGATTAAATTTAAACTATGTATTCTGTTAGATCAAATTAACTAAGTTTATAATATAATAGGTTTACACTATCAAATTATCTAAGTTTATAATATAATAGGTTTAAACTATCAAATTATCTAAGTTTATAATATAATAGGTTTGCACTATCAAATTGCAGAGATAATAGAAAGTTTAAGTTTACAACAAAGAGTCTATTCCTTCATGTTACTTAATATTCTTATAAGCAAAATACGTAAAATCCATAATTTTGTAAAACTTCAAATTGGTTATGATATGTACATTTTATTTTAGATACTACTACGACAAGAGTATATTAAAGAAGGTCCACGAAAGAGATATACATACAAGTTTGATTTCAACGCCCTTATGCAGATCTGCCAGGGGCTGGATCCATCCCTTGCTTCATCCTACAAATACGTAACAGACTTTACAGGTAGTTATGTACACTTTTACAGGTAGTTATGTACACTTTTACAACACTACATCCTGAAATAAAAAGGTGCTTATATTCAACCAAAAATCTCTTCTTTGGCAGAAAAGTTGGATGATTGCCAAATAAGCGATTTAATGTTGAAAATAAGCGATTGTTTTACTTCCAATTTTAGAGCGCACTCTTGAAGCGCCTGATCCAATCAGGGTTCAGTCATGTGTTTTGTTGTCTATTCTGAACCAATAGAAATTGCATGGCTTGTAACATCTATCTTTCTATCTATCTCATTATCCAATTAGAGATATGAATCCTTCAATCGGCGCTATAACACTAAACGGAAATATTTACATCTACTGAAACTAAAGTGAGCGTAGGCTTTCTGGGTGTTTCAAGGCTATCTTTCTTTTAATGGTTACAACTTTTACATCTTGTTTTCACTGCATTATTTTTCATTAAAATTTAAAATATTGAGATTACTACAATCTTTCTGATTTCATTATTGTATTTTAAAAGTTTTAAAAACTCGACATTTAAGCAAACAAATTTTATACAATCTAAATTTTTTTTTCAGGTCTTTTAGCCACAGGATACCCTAGCTATCCAAAACTGAGTGGGCTTATCCCCCCCTCCTCCTCCTCCTCTTCCTCCTCCACCATGTACAACCCCTCACTAAGCTCCAGCTCCCCTTACTGGAGTGTTCCCACCTACTCCTCCGTTATGTCCAGCATGTACTCCACGCAGTTCAACGGGGACCTTCAAACTGATATTTACAAAGACTCCAGTTTGTACAAAGACTCCAGTGTGTATAAAGACTCTAATTTGTACAAAGACTCTGATTTGTACAAAGACTCCATAAGTCAATATAGAGAATCATTGCCTACTTATAAAGACTCCTCAAGTCTATACAAAGACCCCATAAGTCCGTTCAAAGACTCCATCTCGTACAAGGACTCACTGTTTCCCTATATGGAGTCCAAACTCCCTAAATTGAGTAATTATGAGTTGAAGCGAGGGCCCCTGACAGGCCAATTTACTAAGACACATTATCCTACACCCTCACTGTCTAATAGCAACCCTCCTCAGAATGCCGCCAATCTGCCGCCGAGAGATTTCATGCAATTCGGTCGAGATTTGCCGCCATTTACTCCGACGGCGGCAAATTCCAACTATTTTATGCCACAAATTCATGTTTGAAGATTACAGCCAACATTAATTCTTGAAAATCCTGTCTTCCTTTAGTTGTGGTATTGTTGGAGTTTAATGTACTTTTATATTTTGTTATGTCCCGAGAAATTGAAATGTATCATTTTGGATAAATTTACAATAAACGTTTTGAAAGCGTATTTGATGTATTCTTTTAAACATATTTTGTTTGTGGTTATAGAAATGATATATATATTTTCTAAAATATTAAAGAACCAGAAATTCATGGCGCTTCGCGCCCTTTTTTCTAGGCTTTTAGGGCGCTTCGCGCCCATCTTCTATTTAAATTGTGAATATGTTATTTTTGTTTACATTTTAAAACAAAGAAGAAAAAATATTGAGGATTTAAAAAAAAATTCGCGGATTTTCAAAAATTTAATTTTTTTTTTACAAAATGAAAAACCTTTAAAACACATTTTTTAAAATTTTTATCATTCATAAACCTTCCCTGTGGTCACGTGATGTCCCACAAAAAATTTGGGCCCGATCGGTTCAGCCGTTTTGACGTTTATTGGATACAAACAAACAGACAGACAGACAGACAAGCTAAATTTATTTATAGACTAGAAATTCAAGGCGCTTCGCGCCCTTCTTTCTAGCCTTAGAGGGCGCTTCGCGCCCATCTCCTAAATTAATTGTGAACATGTTCTCTTTGTGTACATCGTAAAACAAAACAAAAATAATTCGCGGATTTTCACAAAAAATTTCGTGGATTTTCAAAATTTTCAAAAATGTAATGAAGATCGAATTTTGATGGAGACAAATATTTGAAATTTTGATCATTCATAAACCTTCCCTGTGGTCCCTAGATGTCCCACAAAAAATTTGGGCCCGATCGGTTCAGCCGTTTTGACGTTTATTGGATACAAACAAACAGACAGACAAGCCAAATTTATTCATAGATGGTGGTGTAAGATATAATTAAAATTTAGTGAGATAAATGTAACAATGCTGTTAGGATACGCTTCACTGTTTATTGAACAGATACTAAATAATATTTTGCATATTTTGTAAGACTTAAAAAACCGAAATGCCTGAAACGACAGAGCCCATTTGTGTGTTTGTGTTGGACCTGGCACGGCATTAAAGTTGGCTGGATTGTGATTACAATTTAGATTTGGCGATAAAGCAAATTTACGAGTTTGGATTTAGAAAAAGCATTTGACATCTTGGTTTTAAACATTTAAAGGGACTGTAAGCGTAATTTCAAGTGATCCTTCATACATAGACGGTACAAATAAATTCACAACGGTACCCTTGAAACCTTTGTTTGATCAAGTTATGTTATATTATATGTTATATTATATTAATGTTTTTAATGTTAAAAACTGATTATTTTCAACTGTGGGTTGTCTACACACTGTAGTTTCAGTAGAAGTAAATATTACCATTTACTGAAAGCGCCGGTTTAAGGATTCATATCTCTAATTGGATAATGAGATAGATAGAAAGATAGGTGTTACTGTCAAACTATTTCTATTGGTTCAGAATAGACAACAAACACATGACTAAAACCCTGATTGGATCAAGCGGTAATGGAATCGTCATACAAGTGTTATACAAAAGTGATTTGCGCATTTCAACTGCTGAAAAATATATAGGAATTATCAGAATTAACCACGTTTAAACCTAGAAAGAAGACAATATCAAGGATTACAAGAGTACCGTTGTAAATCGGACATTTACAATTTACACATCTTTACGAGGCCGGAAGGTCTCTGGAAATTACGCTTATATAGTCCCTTTCAAATATACAATATACTGTTCACTATACACTACATACAATTATTTTAGATTAATTTCAAGAAATTAAGATGCCTTTTAGAATCGATGCCCGTTAAACTTTTTTCTTATTTTTCAGTCCTAAAATTGATAATATTCCGATGAAGGTTTTCTATAAAAGTTACGGAATTTTTGTTCTCCTGATTTTTCCAATGTTTCATTGAGCCAAGGCAATGCGACTCTTGAAAGTCGAATCAGTCTTTAAAATTGTTGCAACAAGGATCTACCCCAGCCCTCAATCCTTCCCCCCCCCCTCTTTTCCCCGAAGTCATGTCCTCCGTATTTCCCCCATAGGTTTGTAATAAAAACGGTATCAGTGATCCAAATATATAAATATATGTAGAGATAGATAGACATTTGGAAAGATAGATAAATACAAGGGTGTAATGCAAGGAAAGTTAATTGCGGTCGTGTATACTCTGCGTACACATTGAAACCAGTTCTCTTTGGGCGGAATTTGAAAACAAGAATAGATGCATCAGTGTTCGTTTAGTATCCGAGGAGGTTAAAAGCATTTAATTTGGATAATTTTGATAATTCACATAATAGTTTCCTATGACCACAATATTTCAATGATTTTTTTATGTGAAAGATGGATCCCATGTCAGGCTGTAACATCCGTCTTGTGTTCACATTACCGCCAAGAGACAGTACACTGCAGTACAAAAGATGTGTACACTTCTGAAATAACTTTCCTTGCATTACATCCTTGGATAAATATATATATATAAATAGATATAGACATATGAACACATAGATATAATTTTGATATACATTACACATAAATTTTGATGCTTTAGAAATTAAGACTGGAAAAATATTTAAAAATTTCGGTAAAACCTTTACAAGAAAAGAATACAAAATATTCCAAATCCATTAAAAAAAGCGTGATAGCATATATATATATATAATTTATTGCTAATTCATATAAAAGTATTAAAAGAAAAATCTAAAAATCTGCATTTCCTAGAAAACATGTTCCAACGTGGAGGCTGCAGTATTAACCCCAAACTTCTATCTATCTATCTATCTATCTATCTATCTATCTATCCATCTATCTAGTGCTCTATGGAGGCTATCTAGTTTTGAGTATTGACACTGGTATGTATTTATAGTTCCCTGGAGTATCTAGTGTAAACCAGATAAAGGAATCTTAATAGGAGTAAACTATTGACCCTACTCCCCCTTCACCTTACTCCCTCCTTCCTTNATCTATCTATCTATCTATCTATCTATCTATCTATCTATCTATCTATCTATCTATCTATCTATCTATCTATCTATCTATCTATCTATCTATCTATCTATCTATCTATCTATCTATCTATCTATCTATCTATCTATCTATCATGATTGCATGAAAGATTAAGGTCTAACTATTGACAAAACTGTAAAATTGAAATAATAAAACTACTCAACCCTTTGACTCTAAACTGCCCCCCCTGCTGAGGAAGGGTGGGGACAGGGGGGGGGCAAAAGAAAGGGTTGGAGTAGGGGGGGATTAAAGGGTAAATAAACCTGGAATTATTGACTTAACCTCAAGATCAAAATAAACATTGATTTCATGATGAAAAAATAAGAAAATAATAATGAAGCGAATTAAAGGGACTTGCAATAGAATTAAAGGGATTGTCAATGGAATTAAAGGGACTGTCAATGGAATTAAAGGGATTGTCAATAGAATTAAAGGGATTGTCAATGGAATTAAAGGGATTGTCAATAGAATTAAAGGGATTGTCAATGATTAAAGGGATTATCAATAGAATTAAAGGGATTGTCAATGGAATTAAAGGGATTGTCAATGGAATTAAAGGGTTACATGCCAGATTCGGAAAGGTTTTCCCTTTAAACTTTTATCTAACATAGAATCATGAATCTAGAATAATTGTGTAAGAGCTGTTCTATCTCCAAAGAAATAAATGCTGTTGAGTTTCTTATTTGTCTCGTCTGCATTTATCTATTACAAGTGTCTTTCACAAAGAACCCACACATAAAAATGATTGATGTCAGATAGAAAAACAAGCATATATTCACAATTCACATCAGTGGATGCCGCAAAAATTTCAAACGGCTTCATCTGCGTCTCTTTCTCATGAATATAAAATATAATACATGACATATCTAGGGCTACAAAAATGTGTAAGAGACTTGATGAGGTAAAACCAAAGGCCAAGGCGTTGCCACACGCGACATGCCGAGACTGTCTAAGAATTTGATGTATAACTTAAACAGTTGTCTAGATTTCAGGTCCACGCCTTACGCAAAAATCTAGCAGTATATTGCCAATTAATCCTTTTAAACTCAAACTAGAAACAGAAGCGTTAGAGTTTAAAAATAGATATGCCTCTAGGGCTATAAAATGTATAATTATTTAACTTGGTGAATTAAACCCAAAGCCCAAGCCGTTGCGACGCTTTTAAAATCAAGATCGATTAAAAATTTGAAAAATAGCTTTCATCGTTGTCTAGATATAAACATTGATTTAATAAGTGATTATTTCCTTAATTTAGAAAATCTGAAAACTGGAAAATATAATTACATAATGTCAGGGTAAGTTAAATATTTTTATCATCACATATATTTCTATTATCATTTTATTATTATTATATTTCTACTATTATTATTATTATTATCATTTTCATTATTTCGATCATTATATATAAATTTTTATCTTTCTATATAATAAAATAAAATAAAAATATATGTTGTCTAAGTTGCCGTTTGGCTGGACCGATTTTTTTGTGGACACTCTCATTGATGGCCGGGGAGTGTTAAAGGATAAAATTTTTTTTTCCACACGAGCAACGCCGGGCCCTTCAGCTAGTTATAATTATTATCATCATTATATTTCTATTATTACTACTTTCAATATTAAGCACACCGAAATATATGAAGGGATGGAATTTTAAAAAAGCTGTGAACGTACATTTAAGTCGTGGTAACCCGATTCACATTGGTATCCTTTACCTCTTTATCTTATCTGGCAACAATCGCGCTAAGGTCGTTTTTCCATCAAAAAGTGTTATATGTTCTTCATAAGATCCACAAGTCATTTCTGAATATTTTATCATCTTTATTTCAATATTAAAGAATTGTCATATGGTTAGTTCCCTATAATACATAATAAGAGATCCACAGATAAATATATGCATAACAGGGTATATAGTATAAATGTTAGTAATATTTGAATAAAATGTTGTTCTCAAAATAATAGAGTTTGTTTATATATTGCAAACATTGTATTGTAAAGGAACTGAGTTTTTTCCCACAAACTTAAATGTTCTAACTCCTATATCTCTGTATCCGGATGGTTTAAACCTTGGAGATTGCAAACTTATATTATTTGATCTAACAGAATTCATAGTTTGAAATATCAAAGGTCACTGACATTGGATTGAAAAGATACAGGGATTGGAAAATCTGAGTTTGTGGCAAAAACTCAATTCCTAATACAATAGGTTTAACAGACGGATCAAACTCATCCCAGTCCTGGGTATATTTCCTACATACAAGCTTACAAATATGTAGTAGAATGAAAGGAAAGCAAGGGTTGAAATGTTTTTCAGTAAATTTGAAAATGTTAAAACCGCAATTAGAAATAATACATTTTAATGATGCATTTTAAGATAGAAAACTGAGAATATTTTCAGTATTTTTGCTATGCCAAAGGGTAGCGATAAAATGGATGGTCATTTAAAATCACGCCTAAATTGCTCCTCTTACCCAAGCCAAGCTCTAAAGGTATTGAGTTTTTGCCACAAACTCTGATTTTCTAATCCCTATATCTTTATATTCCAATATTGGAGACATTTGATATTTAAAACTTTGAATTCTTTTAGATCAAATAATCTAAGTTTGAAATATCAAAGGTTTTAACCATCAGGTTGTAAAGATTTATAAAGTTAACAATTTATGTTTGTTGCAAAAACTCAGTCCCTTTGGAAAGTTTGAAACGATTTGATCATTTTTGTATTATGGCTAATCTAAAAATTTCCCTGCAGAAAATACAAAATGTTCTGTGCGCAATTTTGGCTTTAAAGCTTTGAGATTATAAAATAAAACATGAAACACTCTAAACACCAAAAGTGGATGGGTTTTGTTTATTTAAACATATTTATATATATATATATATATATATATATTTATATAATATGAACATTATATAAAATGAACAGAGTGTCGCAAAAAAACATGAAAAGGAACTGAACACTCGTCAGTCGCTCAAATTTTCTAATTCTTTCATCTTTGCAGCCTGATGTGGTACTATAGTGTGAAATATCAACGGTTTACATCATCAGGTTGGAAGGATATAGGATTTAGAAAATTTTTGGCAAGTGTGCTCTTCCTGTAGCGAATTTTGAATTTGAATTAGGAAAAGGATTAAGCAATAAATAATTCTGTAGTTTAAGTAGGTTTTCAAGAATATGGTTACTTTTTTAAAAAATGGAAGGTTTAAAACTAGCAGACCACATTTGGGAACTCCCAGAGTTAGGAAAACATGGTGTTTATGTTTGTATTACATAAAATTTCAATGTTTATACATAGTTGCCCTCTGTTCTTAAATTCAAGATTTGGCTTAAAAACAGCAATTCATTCTTAAACTTCAAAATTTTTCGAGGGAAAAAGTTCTTAAATTTCACCTAGAAATTTTTTTATCGATATTTCGTCAAAAGTCCTTTAAATCCTTTAAAAATATGAAGAAAAAATTCTTGTTATTGTACCTCATTCGATAGTTCCTATTACATTTTATTTAAAGTTCTGAAATCAATCCTCATACCTCCTAATGTATACATATTTCTTTTAACATTTTATTATATCAGGTTCAGAAGTTAGATATAAGAATTCAATTATAAATGATAAAAGTGGGGTTTTTGAGACATTTATTTAAGAGGACCCAAACCAGAAAGAGGGATGTGTAATTATTAACATATGTCAGAAAGATAAAGATTGATTTTCAGTTGATTAATTTAGGACAAATATAAACGAATTCCATTTTTTAAGTAACCTCGTATTTTTGAATAAGATAAAATATTTTGTTGCAATATAACTAAACGTCATTATGGTCCAGGTGTCGGAAAATCACACCAATGAAAAATCTTAAATTTAAGACGGCTATACTATAGTATATGTTTATAAGGACACCCTGTACTAGTTAGATGTGAGTTAAAGATAGATAGATTAAATAAAGATGGATAAAAATAAATGAATTTAAATATTTTGGTAATTACAGATAATTATAATTACAAAAATAATAATGATTGATACAGTGATGACCAGAAAACTTTGGAATAGTAAGAATTCTGAAGTGCATTTGATGTGTTTACAAGGAAAAAAGCTTTAATAGTAAGTTATTAAGTGAAATTGGTCTGTTCACAGTGCATAATTTCTGTGTCTGTGTTCATCGGACTATTTAAAGTCATAACTTGAGTTTAAAAGTCGACTTCCTTGTCCAGAGTTTTCTGTTTATCACTGTAGTGGAAATTATTTATAACAATAACAATGCACTTGAATATAATGAGAAGAATAATAAATAAAGCTTGATATGTGAAGGGAGTGGGAAAATGGGGGAAATTAATGTGGATGATGTAAATTGCGTGGGAGGGAGGGGGAGGGGTAAAAAATATGAACAAAATATACGATAAGTTGAAGGAAAGAGGGGGATATGGGGAAAGTAACAATCATAATAGGATAATGGAAAATAATTTTCTGATTGATGGTCGGCCATTTTGCTCCTTTGAGTCCGCCATTTTCTTTTATTGTTCAACAATCTCCCGCATTTCTGATTTCTTATCGCGTGGATAATTTATATATTAATGATTTTATCCTTTTTATGTGAAAATAATAACAGTGGTGAATGAAAAGTCCTAAGAGTCTACAAATAAGTTTGCTTAAAAATAAACACTAAACTTATAAAAGTTTAAAAGTACAATGTACAAAGATTAGAACTCGCAAAGGACAACTAAAACGCTAACATTGAGTCTTAGGCTTATAATTTTAGAACTATTTTGTTATGTATTAAATCCGTATAACGTTTCACACTAAAATTTAGCAGAAAGTTTTACATATATTAACTACATGAACACATGTCTAAATACCACGGGTTTCCAAGCTTGATGTTTTTATTAAGGTTTCCAAACGATAGCTCTCGACATTTGTAGCGAACTACAAAATTCCGATTGCAGTGCAATATCATAAAGATGCAATATGTGAAGTTATGTGCATTTTGTCTAATAATTCATTTTCAAATTTCATTGGGATACCCGTAAAGTATTACGGAATCATTATTTGAGACAGAAATAAGAAAATCAAGTAGCAATACCTTGTTCAACCACTTCTCGCTATTCATTAAATCCGATCTGAAAAAAGTAGTTAAATCCTATATCAACTACCTTAATAAAATCCTATATCAACTACCTTTTTATTCATAAGTTGCCATCGCAAACCATAAACTAAAAGTTAAAAGTTTAAAACCTCTAAAAATTCTCACAATGTAGATGATTTTCCCACCAATAAACATATATTGATAGATAGATAGAATAAAAATTCGACCCCCCCCCCCCCC